GAGCCCTTTAAAAAACAGAGGAAAATGAAACATTAAAACTCCTCACTCAAAACTGTCTATATGATTTAATTTATTCCCTTATTATTCTACTTGTTTGCTATCTTTTTCAGTTTGACCTGCTATTGATTTTACAAAAAATTCTGAATGACCTTCCACAATATGCAAACCCCTAGAAAATCGTAGATCTTGAAAACCACCATGGCTTTTTTCAGCTGCTATCTTAAATTATAGTACTCTGCCACAGCCAATCACAAGTCTCGTTAAAAAAGGAGAAGTGTTGGTCTCAGGTTCAAAGCCGATCATAAAAATTTCCCATAAACAAAGACTATGACTCCTTAAATGAAAATGACAGAGCGCAGATTCAGATTATTTTTCATGCCAATCACTGGCCTGACAGCTATGTAGGTAAGAAAGTCTAGACTCTAACAGATCAAGATTAAACAGATGCCAACTCAAGAAGTGGTGGATGTTAAAAAGAAAGACATGTTAACATGTAATATAATACATGGTACTTAACAAAACACTTTGGAGTAGGGATGGAGTAGGGGGCTGCTCCAGCCCCACAAGGCCCATTGCAGACATGGACTGCTCCTAGCAGCCCCTGTCCATGGCAGATCCCGCCCACCCCCCACTTCAGATTACATACGGCTCCATTTGCAGAGGCAGCGAAGCCTCCTCAGGAGCAAGGCCCAGCAACCTTTACCGACCCCACTCCTGAGGAGGCTTCACTGGGGGCTCTGCAGTATAAAGAGGCCACAGTACGTGCAACTCCTAGGATTTTTAGCAGTTACACAGCTACATTTTTTAATGATTTTACATCCCTACTTTGGAGGGAGAGGACTTGGAGAACAGGCCCTACCCGAAGGGATTAATGCAAGGAAAATGATCTTATAATATTAAATACAATTAAATATCTATAACCCAACTATAGGGTTGGGGGCAGTAATGATGGTTTTTCAAGAGGTGAGTCCCTGTGGGTGTCCACTCAGGCATTGGTGCGTCCTCATGGTGGCAATCAGAGATTTTTACCCCAGCAGTGCCTTCCCGCACCACGCATGCAGTGTCGCCATCCCGTGACAGTGTTCATTTGCTGCGTGTGTGGTGCAAATGCCTAGTTCCTTCTCTGCCAAAGAATTGCTAAACAGACTCCAAAGTAGAAAGGGGGAAGGGAGGATTGTGGAGCACCCACGGGAGACACATCTCAAAGAACTATTGTTACTGCACAAGGGGAGTAACAACTTCTTCTCCTTCGAGTGGTGTCCCTCTCGGTGCTCCACTCAGGTGAATATAGAACAGTATCCGCGTTAGGTGGTGGAGGACTTTGGAGTCACATCTGAGTGGTAGCATGGACAACGAGGCCCACAGAGGCAGTTGGAATTTGGCCCTGCTGTAATGCATAATGCTGTGCAAAAGTATTATGGGATGACCAAGTAGCCACCCTGCTGATGTCAACAAGGGGCACACTGTGAAGAATGGAAGCAGATGTCACCATTGCTCAGGCTGAATGAGCAGCGATCCTCTGGGAGCAAGGACACTTGGTGCAAAGCTTGTAACCGGAGTGGATACAAGACGATATTCACTTACATATTAGTTGTGCTGACATGGCTGATCTCTTAGAGGATCCAGAGGAAGGTATAAAAAATCTAGTAGATGTTCAGAATTCTCTTGTTCTGTCCAAACAGAATGCCACAGCTTGGCATACATACGGGGTGTGCAGGATTGCATCCCTGATGGAGTTATGAGGCTTTGGATAAAACGCGAGTAATTAAATGGGTCACTACCTTTGGTAGGAATTCTGGGTCTGGAGAAAACTCTGTAAGGTGGATCTGCCATCAGGGCTGAAATCTTTCCTACCCATCAGGCAGCCACGCATGTGCAGTCCGGCAGACCATGGCTCTGATAGCTCTCCGATTTGCAGCGTAGGGACAGGACCCGACACCTAGAGTGGAGCACCCACGGGGCCACTCGAAGAAGAACCGCCTATGCTCCTTGTCTTGGAGAGTGGATCTGAATTAGGGCTGTCTTGACAGGTGATGGACCACATCCACAACTAGTGAATTGGGCTGGGGATGGTAAAAAAGGAAATCCATGTCTTTAGCAGGCATGAAATATGTCCTATCTACCCTGGTATTAGTAGGGAGGAAATGGAAGCAGGTGTTTGCCATATGGTCTCAGAGGGCTCCATTATAGCCTCATCGATAGACAGAGCGATTTTTGAGGAAGATGCCAGTTGTAATATTTGTAGCAGCTTGTGCTGTTTTTCTTGCACTTCCTGCAACACAATGTCCTGCAAGTTCACAACCTTCTTGTACAATTCGTGGAATTGTTTCAGGTCATCCACCAGTGAAGAGGAGGAGGGAAAAGACCACCTAATCAGGGAATGAAGAAGACTGGGCCTCCGGGGATTGATCCTCCATATCAGTATGTCATCCTTCTCCTCCATCGGGTCTGTCTGTGTCACCGCAGAAGGTGACTGTGGTGGATGAGTTGGTGGTGAGTGGATTGCTAGGTGAGCTGGAGTGGAAGGAGCTATATCCTGTTGATAGTGGTGCTGTGGTGGCGGTGAGCAGCATTGAGCCTACGCATCCAATGAAAGCCACTGTGAAGGGTAGAATTGAGGTTGAATTGCCACGGATGGGTAAACCAGGGTTACTGAGGTCGTTGTTAGCTGGTCTTTTTCCTGCCTGAATGCTAAGGTAGCACTACATAAGTGAGAGGAATGTGAGGATGAGAACCTACTCCCATCTTCAGTGCCAAGGTTGGTGCAAAGGGAGGACGGTGTAGGCAAAAAGGAAATGTCCACAGTTCAGTGCCACTGTGGACTATCCTCCCTAAGAATCGGAAAGCGTAGTGGCAACTCGCTTGTGTGTTCCAGTAGTGAAGTTGCCAGCACATGTGCTGCTTGGTGCTGAGATTTAGACCTCTTATAGGTCTTGCTTGTCATAGTCTCTAGTGCCAAAGATAGTTTAGGTGCCAGAGTCTGCTGCGAAGGAATGGCCTGAGTCAATGTCATCGTCTCCACTGGTGCTGGGGGAGGAGGCATGTCCGACTTGGTCTTCAGTGCCAGGCGGGAGCTCATGCCGGTTGGTGCGGAGGAGCTCATTTTTACTTTTGTCTCCAATTCCACTCTCTCAGATGGTTCTGCCTTGCACTTTCCATCTATCTCTGGCACTGCTGAAACCAGCAAATGGGCAGCATGGGATATTGTCAGTACCACAGGGATTAACCATGCTGGTGACATCCTGGACTTATGGGCATTCCGGGGCGGAGATAAATGGGCTCTCTTCCTCAGAGTTGATGGTTCCAACGGGTGATGGTTTCTGAGGGTCTGATGGCTGGAGGGACTACTCCCACAGAATCTTCTTGAGCCTCATCTCCCTGTCCTATCTGGCTCTCACAATTTTCTCTGGCAGTGTTGGCATTTCTATGCAACATGGCCTTCGTCCAGACATCTTACGTAGGAAGCATGCCCATCAGAAATGGGCCTGCGATCCCTGCAGGAGTCGCATTTCTTGAACCTGGGAGAGCCCAACATTTTAAACAATTTGGGGGTGGAGAGAGAGAGAAAAGAAAAGCGGGGGGGGACTTTGTTGTGGGTTGAGGTTTTTTTTTTTGCGGGAACAGGTTAAGCTAAGAAAAAAATGACTAAGGGTGACTAACCATAGTTAAAAACTGAAATTTTTCACACACAAAAATCTTTCTTTTAAGGAGGAGGTTGCATGGCTGAGGAACTCCATCTTCTGCTGAGGATGGCAGAAAAGGAACTGGGGACTCGTGTTGTGCACACAGCTAATGGACACAAAATCACAAAAGGCCAAATTTGTGTATGCGTGGCGCAGAAAGGCACTGTTAGGGTAAAAATATGATCACCAGCGCAAGGACGCACTGACACCTGAGAGGAGCATCCACAAGGACAACACACAAAGGAGAACTTTAGGTTTTGTCTTCGTTGGTTTTTCCCTGTGTTTGGGCTATTTTCCACTTTCAATTTATTCACATGCATTTCCCCCTCCCCACCAAACTGAATCTCATTTTATTATTTCTTATTCATATTTAAATCTCTCTAGTAACTTCTGATTCCTCTGTCTCTACTTGTCTTTCAAATACTATTTAATTTTGTATCAACCACAAAATCATTAACCTATTCTTTCTTTTTCCATATTATTTATAATACAGTAAAACTCCGATGGTCTGGCATCTGATGGTCCGGCACTATCAGGAACCCAGAAGTGCTCCGGGCACCCGGACCATTGGAGCTGCTCTGCCCCCAGCTTCAGCCACTGCTAAAACTGACCAGCGGCTGAATTAGGGAAGCCGGGGGCAGAGCAGCTGAAGTGCTGCCGGGGAGGTATTGTAGTGCTGGCCCCCGGGG